TAACTGCATTCTTAGATGATCTCCAAAGCAGTACAAAATGAAATGGGACAATTATCATATGCTTTATTCGTAAAAGGGAGGATTCCAGACATCTTCAACAGTTATTTAGCAGTTAAGAGAGTAACGTGGAAGAAAGCTCTCAGCATTGTTCTAATATTTGTGAGGTTCTTGGTGACCTTTGTCTGACTACTGTGTGACCAAGAACAGTATGGAGGCCTAGTGATCAAGACCCTCCCTTCCCACTTTGGAAGTTGAGAGTTCAATCCTAAGTAGCGACGGATGTTTCTTTCCTACGGCTCAAAAGAAAAAGATATCTGCTGTGAACTCCACATAGGCATCAGGAAGGGCATCTGGTCAGTAAACGCTCGGCTCCATCCAATTGCCCTGACTCTACCTGAATAGGGACCACAGGGTCATAAAAAGGGAGGTTTTTTGTTATTGTGTGAGCAAAAATGATGGCTAGACAGTTGCCCAATCTGCCAGGACTCTTCTTAACGAAACAGCTATGCCTGTTTCTAGTAAATATGCTCTTAGTGCAGGTCCCATAGCAAAGTTTTGAGCTGATTCCTCCTGGCCACATTTAACCGAAGCGGCAATTTTGCAGGGAGGGCTTGGCAGGTAAATTTTTGTTCCCTTCCTAATAACAACCGATCTGATTGCAGGAGCAAGACACAGCTCTTTACCGTCCTGCCTTGGAGGAACTTCGCAGGCAGATACGCTCTTCCACAACCTCCATGACTTCCGTACCCAAGCCCTTGAAGTTCCTGCGGCCACATTACGGCAAATTGAAAGAGATCTATGAAAATATGGCCGCAGGGGAAAACAAGGTGCGTAGCTTGGATTGATTCGAGGGAAGTGCTGGTGCTACTTTACCATTTTTCTTTTTGTCCTTTCTAATAGCTAGCTGGGACGCGGTGGCTCAGTGGCTAAGACGCTGAGCTTGTCGATCAGAAGGTTGGCAGTTCAGTGGTTTGAATCCCTAGCGCCGCATAACGGAGTGAGCTCCCGTTACTTGTCCCAGCTTCTGCCAACCTACCGTATTTCCTCAAAAATACGACCTGTCCTGAAACTAAAGCCTTGCCACATTTTCCGCGCGGGCAAAAATATAAGCCCACCCCCGAAAATAAACCCCCTGGACAACCCCCATCTCCAGCCAGGCAAAGCACCGCTCACCGACATAGCGATATCCTGAAGGCGCCAAGCGGCAGGAGCCAAGGGGGGGGGGGAGAAAGGCACATTGCTTGGCGCCTTTGGGATACCGCTAGGTTGGGGAGTGGCGTTCTGCCTGGCCAAAGGGGGGAGTTGCCGGGTGGCTGCGAACTGTCTCCCGAAGAGCCGGGCACAGCTTTGGGTGAAGCAGCCATGCGATGACCAAGCTCACGAGCAACCACCCGGCAAACCCCCTCTCCAGCCGGGTAGAGCGCCATTCACTGACCTAAGGGGTATTACTAAAGCGCCAAGCCATGTGGCGCTCTGCCTGCTTCCCAGCTCTCGCGGCTTGGCACATTAGGGATACCCTAATGGAGCTCTGCCTGGCTGGAGAAGGGGGTTGCACGAGTGCCTATTTTGGCAGCCAAGTTTGGGAGTTTGGAACCGGAGAAGACGTTATGCTCGGTGGCCCAGACATGTTGAGGCTAGGAGGCATGCCTGCTGGAGGCAGAACAGGCGCTCGCGCAACCCCCTTCTCCAGCCAGGCAGAGCTCATGCACTGACCTAGCGGGTATTCCTAATGTGCCAAGCCGTGGGAGCTGGGGGGCGGGCAGAGCGCCACGTGGCTTGACGCCCTAGTGATACCCCCTAGGTCAGTGAATGGCGCTCTGCCTGGCTGGAGAGAGGGGCTGCCGGGCTGTTGCTCATGAGTTTGGTCACCTCATGGCTGCTTCACCCCTGAGGCTGTGCCCGGCTCTTCGTGAGCCAGTTCGCAAGGGAGCAGCTGCCCAGCAACCCCAAAACAATAAGCCCTCCCCTATAATAAGCCCAAGGCCATATTTTGTAAGTAAAAAGAAAATAAGACCCTGTCATATTTTTGGGGAAACACGGTAGCAGTTTGAAAACACGTAAAAAATGCAAATTGAAAAATAGGAACCACCTTTGGTGGGAAGGTAACAGCGTTCTGTGCACCTTTGGCATTTAGTGATGCTGGCTATATGACCACAGAGACGTCTTCAGACAGTGTTGGCTCTTCGGCTTTGAAACAGAGATGAGCACCACCCCCTAGAGTCAGGAACGACTAGCCAAAATGTTCGAGTGGAACCTTTAC